GAGTTGTTATTAAATAAGATTTTCATCCAGAGTTCAGTTTATTGCTTTAAGAGAACTAATTTATACAATTTCTATGATGTTTTAAAGCAAGTTGCAGTCATAAACATGTACCAGAAAGTAGTTTGAAATGTGTGAACTTATTCTGTGTATTTTGCTTATTCTGAACTTGCTGTTTCTAAAGTTTATGAGCTTGACTTGCTAGTGTTAAAATTAGTTTTGGAAACTGCATGTGGGTGTCTTCTGTTGTTTTACTTTTGGTTGTGGTTTTTTTGTTTTTTTTTTTTTTTTTTTAAAGCAGCTGTGATTTGTAGAATCGCAAGTCCTTTGCTTTCAGGACCTTTATTAAAATAACTTTTTCTCCTCCTTCAGTCTAGAGCAGATTAAATCATTTGAAGCACCTGCTACAATCAATTCTGCATCCCTTCACCCAGAGAAAGAATGTTTGGTTGCAGGTGGTGAAGATTTTAAACTCTATAAATATGACTATAACACAGGAGAAGAATTAGGTATGTTTGACTTCAATAATAAAAAAAACAAGTTCTGACAGGTATTTGCTAAATGACATAGCGGGTGATGAATTAAACTTGTAGAGCAGGCTGTGCTACAGCCTTATTTGAGTTTAAGATAATGGAAAGGTAAGTAGTCAGTTAGGAGGCTTTGTCCTTTGTTAGTATACCTAATGTTACTCTTATAGATCTAATTAAAGCCTCCACTAAATAGCTGTGCAGCTATTAGGGAGGAAAAAAAAAAAGTGAGTCATCCCATACTGCTGCAATAGCAAACTATATGTTAACTTAAATGTCACACTGTGGCATTCATTATGTCTAATGAATCACAGTTACTGGACTGTATTTTAATGCTGGCCAAGTGTAATGCATTTTTAAGTGTATTTTCATCTATTGCTCCTGTCTTTGTTTAAAGTTACATAGATGTGTACGTGGTAAGTGGTTGATGAAACAGAGCACGTGTATTCTATGCTGTTGGCTTGCTTTGTAATTTTGCTTATAATAATTAGATGCCTGTCTTGCATTTAATTCAGATAACAGTACTTCATTAAAAGTTGTGGGGATACTAATTATTAGAGATGTTGTTTTGTATCAAAAATTAAGTACTGGAGAAGTTTCTCCCAATTCATATTTCTCTTCCCCTTCTAGTTAGTTTTTACTCATTTATTTCTGCTGTTGCTTGAAGTTAGAAATAATTGGCCTCGATATGTTCTCTTTATAGAATCTTACAAAGGGCACTTTGGTCCAATTCATTGTGTGAGATTTAGCCCTGACGGGGAGTTATATGCCAGTGGCTCAGAGGATGGTACACTAAGGCTGTGGCAGACAACAGTAGGGAAAACCTATGGTCTTTGGAAGTGCGTAGTTCCTGGTAAGTGTGTGCTTTTGTTTTCTTTTTCCTGGTTACTTGGCTGCTTCATTCAAAAATCTTAGTAGTAATATAAATGGCAAACATCATCTGAATTTGTTGCGGGATCTCTACTGTCATTTGGCATCTTCAGTGGCACTCAAGTCTTTTGGATTTAAGATTTTACTTCTGTAGCTGTCATTTAAGCAACTTAAATGAGAGCTTAATTAATATTGGTACTTTGTATCAAATTGCTTGTATGGCCTCAAATCTTCATGTTATAGAGCAAGAGGTTTGAAATAATTTTGTGAATACTTAAGACATATACCCCTCCTTCTGCAGATTCTTTCAAGGTTTCTCTGTACTTTCTCTAGTAGATTCTTACAAGCTTTCTCTACTTTCTCTAGTATTTTTGGGGGGAGGGAGCTCATGGGGAGGCAGTGCTTAGGAAACAGCAAACAAGTAACAATTGATGGAATTACTTACCTAGCTCTTTCTCCTTAACAATAAATAAGTGGGAATTTTTTTTGTTTTCAGAGTGAAACCCACTTTTTACTCTGTGTTGAGTGGAAGGGAAGGTACTAACCATTTTTTCTCCTCCCTACAGAAGAGGAGAATGCAGAAGCAGCAAAAGCAAGGACCACTCTTCCAGGAACTGCAGAGGAGGAAATAGGTAATACATTGAACTGCCAACTTTAACTCTTTCCTACTGAAGAAGTCTTAACTTTTTTCCAAGTACCTTCTGGCATTTTTCACTCATCTAAAGATCTTTGAGCATGTTTTTCTAGGAAAATATATTAAGTGTCAAAATAGTGACAAGGGCTGTGTGATCTTGCAAACTTAGCAGATATGGTAGAAAAATCTGAATTGGGTTAAGTGGAAAAGAAAACTAAACCAGTCTTTAAAACATCACTGCAGCGTTCTTTGGTTTATGTATGTAAATTGATTCTTTCTTTAATTGCAGAAGAAGTTGCCTCTGAAAACTCAGATTCAGTGTACAGCTCAACTCCTGAAGTTAAGGCGTGATTATCTCAACTGTTATGCAACGTATGGACATACAAGACTAAATCAAGTGAGCAGTGATAAACAGCAGCCTTCCAGAGTGCACTCTCTACATAAGGCAAAGATGGGCAGTAATTGATGAGAATGCAGTGGAACTGGCTAGGTGTTGTCTGTAAGAGAACTGAGTATCCAAAAAAAAGACAAGTAGTAGAGTTTTGCTATCTTTTTAGCATAACTGCCTGCTGTCTTTTGAAAGAAGTGTGCAAGCCAAGATCCAGTCTCTCCAATTTCAATTAGACTCATTGTAGTGTGTTTTCTTTATTACAGAGAAAAAATATGGCTTTTACCCATTTTTTTTTTTTTTCCTTTAAAGTTGGAAGATTTGGCTTTAGTTGAAAAGGGGATTATGTACTAAAAGTATTCAGTTTTTGTTTCATTGTACACTGCTTCTGAATGTTTAACTGTTTTCAGTTGTCTAAATAAAATGCCTCTCAAAACTCCTAGCTTTACTGTTTAGCATTGGGTTCATGGAATGGAAAAGCAGCCAAATTAATGGTATAATACTCTCTAGCATCTGTTTTTGTATTATACAGAGGGAAAGCAATAAGAATGTTTTAGTGTTTGGTCCAGAGAGTGGCAAGTTTCTTGATATGTAAGCCTTGCATCATTTTATTCCTTAACTTTTGAATGTAAAAGTGAGTCTCTAAATCAAAAGCATTGGGAACTCCTAAACTAAATGTACTGACTGAAATACGTGGTTGTACATGAAAATCTCAGAGGTTGGCTGAGTTTGTAAAAAATCTTGGGTTTAGTTCTCTAAACTGAATGAAAAAAGTTACACTCTCAAGGTCAAAACCCATACTTTCATCATTAAAGAAAATATTGCCATTCTGCTTGTCATTTCCTTTAATGTTAATGCTGAAAGACCTGCATAAGTTGTTCTTTTAGGGAAGGAAAAACACTATATAAACATATGGTCATATACTTTCCTGATTTTTTTTTTTTTTTTTTTTTTTTTTCCATATTGAGATTCGTCCTTAATTTTCTGACTCTTAGTGGCATCCAGTAATGGTAGAAGAAAACTAAAGCCTAACTTTTGAAAACCTGATTATAATTTGAAACAGAGGTCTAATCATAAGAAAATACTTTGTCTGTGAGGGCAGTCAGATTTAGAAGCCTCTACAGCCTTTCCAGGAAACCTCTTCCATGTTGAAGATGCGTAGAACCCAACTGGACGTGGCTCTCAGCTGACCCTGCCTGAGTAGGGGGTTTGGACTCTGTCTCTGGAGGTTGACTGTAGCCTTAATTTATTCTGTGGAAGGGGGAGGAATAGAGTAAATAAGGAAAATAAAGAAGGATAAAATCAGTCTTGGTTTCTTGGTATCATTAGGAATTTGTCAATTCAGTAACTTAACTACGAAGTTAATTTTTGAATAATCTGTTCAAATTTTAACCTTAAAACAAATGTCCCTCACTTACTGCTAATAGTTCATTTTAGTAATTACTAATTTATTTATGGCTTATGAGGATTCCAAAATTCATCCTTCCTTACTTTACCAGCTGAATAAGATGTGTTTAAAACCAGAAGCCCCCCCTCCATACCTAAATGAAACTTCTTGTGCTGTATGTTGAGTAGACTGCTGAGTGTTTCACAGAGAATGCTGCACTAACATTCAAACATAAGCGCTTTGGCCCTTTGTTGCTTTCCCAGATGCTGTTGTGAGTTTGTGGTTTCCATGCTAGGGGTTAATGAGTAGGGCTGAAATTGCAAATGTTCATATTGATGATGTTTAATTTTTTTTCCTGGAATCTTGCATCATTACAAATCTAAGGAAAAAAAAAAAAAAAAAAAAGCCCATGAAATTGTCAATGGCCTTATTGTTAGATTTCTATTTCCATAGGTTGTTCCATCCATGCAATGGAACACTTCTGTGAGAAGCTGAGAGAGCTGATGCTGTTCAGCTTGCAGAAGGCTGCAAGGTGACCTGATAGTGGGGCTTTCAGTACTGAAAGGGGAGCTACAGGAAAGAAGGGGACACTGTTCAGCAGTCTGTGGTGATAGAACAAGGGGAAACGGTTTCAAGCTCAAGGAGGATAGGTTTAGGTTAGATACAAGAGAATATTTTACAGTGAGGATGTTGAGAACTGGAATAGGCTGCCTAGTGATGTGGCTGATTCCCTGTCCCGAAGTCTTTCCAAGGGAAGGCTGGATCAGGCCCCGGGCCATCTGACGTAGCAGTGGTGTCCTCGTTCATTGCAGGGGCGTTGGAATGGGTGGCCTTCAGAAGTCCCTTCCAACTCAGGTTTCTATGATTTTTGCTGGTGTCACTAGAAGGCTGTACAAAGCAGGCATGTAGCGACCTTACTCTGTCAGCGTCAGGAGCCTGAAGAGCTCTTTGACCTCAGCAGCGTGGCGGCGGCCTGCGCTCCGTGCTGCCGTTCCCGGGGCGGGGCAGCGGGATGGCGTCCGCCCGCTCCTCTCCAAAAAGTCGAAGCGGCCATGTGGGTGCAGGGGCACCCGGCATCGCCACGTCCCGCCTTCGTGCCTTTGCTTTTCGCTCTCGCTTGTCGTGCCGGTGCCCGGGACTCCCCGGCACGGCTGTCTCCCTGGGGCAGAGGAGCCGACGCGAGCTCCGCTGCTGGCACTGCTTCCTGCCGGCGCGGGGCGGGACCGGCGTTGCCTGCCTCTCTCCGCCCCGCTCGGGCCCGTGAGTGCGGGCCATGGCGGCTAGAAACGCGGGCACCGAGCTGGGTAAGGGTCGGCGGCCTGCGGGACGGGAACTTTGCGGGGCTCGGGCAGGGCCTTTTGCTCCGTACGAGGGCTGGAGAGCGGCGGGAGCCCGCTGCCGTGTCCACACGAGGCTTGATGTTCCCACGGCCGCGTCTCGCTGCCGTGTCACATCGCCTCCAGCGTGCCGGCTCCTGGCCGAGCCAAACCTTTTGAGTGCGTTTCCTTCTCGCTTCCTTTCACCCAAACTGTTCAAAATGCTTCTCATTGCCTCACTTTTGATTTTTCATTTGCCGCCTATTCGCTGAAGCTTCTCCTGATATCTGCAGCCAATCTTCGATGGCCGAGCCTTACCTAATGACCCATCCAGACGGGCTTTTCTGTGCCACTGCCTGTGTGGAACCTGTATTCTTGCTGCCGGGCTCGGTGAAGGAGAAGCAGCCTTCCCACTTCTCCACGCAGCCAAACACGAGTGCAGTGGTGGGCTACATTCAGGTGACCAGCCTCTTGAGTGGCCACTTTAAGGAGGGGTATGGCAGTTTGGTCCATAGAGCAGCAGTACATTAAGTGTAGGAGATTCAGAAGTGATGTTATGGCAGAGGGAGAGCAGCAGGTCTCAGAGCACAGGAGGCACACAGCAGTGTTACACTCTAGCATGAGGGCACACGCTTTCACAGAGTTAATACACAATGTAAAGGATTAGCCTGTGGACTACTTGAAGTTAACTCTGTTGTCATTCTGCACAGTGACTGACACGTAGCTCTAAAAGTGAGCTGTCACATTGCCCTCTGATGTGCTTATCCTTGGGCTGCTTGCAGAAACAGGTGAGTTTGAACTGTAACCATCTGAACAGCATCTTTTTCTTTGCTGAAAAAAAATGTGTTAATAATGTAGTAGCAAAACTTTTGTGTCTGTCACAAAAAGAAGCCAGCACAGGAGTTTGCACATGCGTTCCATCTATTGTAAGCTAGGCACATGTTCTACTTCTTACTGTAAATTTTTGCTTACAGTTGAGTTGCCGTCTGTGCAGGAACTCAAGAAGCTTGAATCAGTCCAGTTCTATCAAACAGTTGTCTTCCAACAGGTAGGATTACCTGTAAGGAAGGCAGTGCTGCCAAGTATAAAATCATTGATAGAGATAGGTGAGCTCATTAATGTTTGGCTGGAAAAGAAGTACGGAATGTGCGACTTACCAGCAAATTATAGCCTTTGTTTTTTGGACCCACCAAAACAATCTGAGTACATTCCAAACATTCTGAGTTAATCTTTCTCTTCCCACAAATGCCCAACCCCCCTGCCAGAGAGGTAGGGTTAACTTGTGCACAAGACTATGAACAGAGAGTGCAGTGGGATGGATGTCTTCAGGGCTGTATGTGACTTGTAGCCTCTGCCAGTTGCAGCTAATTGAACTTAAACTGCCATTGCTCCCAGCTACTTGTTGCCATCCCTTCCCAGTGATTTTTAAATCAGCTACAGTCATAGAATTATAGGGGTTGGAAGGGAGCCTCTGGAAATCACCTAGTCCAACCTCTCTACAGTAAGTTGCAAGGAAAACATCCAGGTGTGACTTTAATATCTGCAGAGGAGACTGCACCCTCTCTCAATAGTCTCTTCCAGTGCTCTGTCACTGTCAAAGTAACGAAGTTCCTCCTCAATTTTTATGGAACTTCCTTTGTTCCAGTTTGTGCCCGTTGCCCCTAGTCCTGTCACTGCACACCACTGAAAAGAGCCTGGCCCCATCCACTTGACTCCTGTACTTTAGATATTTCTAAAGAGTGATAAGATCCCCTCTCAGTCTTCTCCAGGCCAGTTACAGATCTCTTAGCCTTCCTTCATGAAGGACAGCAGAGGGCCAACAAGATGGCTGTGACCTGGAGCGGCTGCCCTGTGAGGAGGGAGCTGGGCTGATTCAGCCTGGAACAACACAGCTTTGGGCAGCTTGCCCATCTGTACAAGGAGAGCATCAGAGAAATGGAGCCAGTCTCCTCATGACTGAGTGTAGCTGGAGATCAAGAGAGAACAGAAATGAATAGAAACCTGAGAGGTTCAAATTGGATGCAAGGAAAAATTTCTTCATGCAGAGGTGGTTAGGTGATGGGATAGGCTGCCCAAAGGTGCTGTGCAGTCCTTTTCTTTTAGGATTCTTAGACCCAACAGGATAAGGCCTTGATGACTGTCCTGAGCTGAGAGCTGTCTCTGCTTTGAGCATGAGGTTGGGTGAAAGACCAACTTAACCCAAGCCAACCCAAAGTCTTCTATTATTTGTATATATACTTACATGTATATATTCTTTTATTTTATTATATTCTTTTATATATATGTGTACATACATACATGTATGTGTATGTATTCTGAATAATGAATAATTAATTAATTAATTAATTAATTGCAGTTGTTTTGCAAAATGTGTTTTTGGACTCTTTAAAAGAAAATCCATCCGTGTTGCTCAACCTTCTAGTTGAGTGGCCAAAGATACATACATTATGTTTCTACTGATATTTTTAATTATATGTAGTTGATATTTCCGAGCCATTTGCATATGAGAGCTAGCCTGTGGTAAGTGGCATTTAGATAATGAAGTGTTGCATCCCTTTTCAAGACAGCGTAATTATGTTCTAATATATTAATAGCTGTTTTTATCAGTTACAGTGGCTCTGTTCCTTCACTGTTTCCTCTTTAACACTTTCTGAATCTGCTGGATAACTTTAATCATACTTGAAATAAAGACAGATATCTCAAAGATAACTAAGTCACTGGGCAGAATGACTGAACTGCTTCCACTGTTGGTGCAAAAGCAGAGCAGGCACAGCTCAGCAATGACATGGCTCCTCATTACACCTTTAATTTGTCTGTATTCAAGTAATGATGTCCTGCCTTACTCCATGGTCACACGGACCATATCAGGACAGCTGGACTATTGGAGTAAGGAGAAGTCTCTGCAGCAAGGGAAGGAGTGAGGGACTCAGAGCTGCAGGAAATCAAGCTCCAGTTCTTCTACAGCTCATGGAACAGCTGACATTCTGGGAAAAGGCTTATCAGTGGTTTTCAAAATGCTTTGGAGGGCACTGAGCTGTTTCATGTGACCAACACTCAACACTGTGTGATCTCACCAATGTCGCAATATAGTTGAACTTATTTCTAGTTGGGTTTATGCCTTGGTGTGAATACTGACAACTTGCAGACCGAACTTCTCTCATATAAGAAGAACCCAATATGAAAACAAAATAGATCTATTGAAACAATCACTATGAGAAAATATTTACAGCTTCTGTGTTAAAAAAAAAAAAAAAAAGAATTACCCTCAAGCCTGTAAACAGCTTACTTGGTAACATAGCTCTTCAACAAGATCTGATCCTGAAGTCTTTTCCTCAGCTACAAATGGCCAGCTGGATTCAGCCTGCATTCACTTGAGCATTTCATTTCTCCAGTAAATGTTCAGGACACAGTTTCATAATCGTTTCTCCAGAAATAATAGCTTTCATCACTCCATTTTATCATGTGTTCATGGTAAGGAGGAGCACACATGCTGTTTTTGGCACAGAGGAGGAAATAAACAGTTGGGGGGCAGCTTCTTATGGGGACAGAGCTGCTTTGAAATGCTTGTGAAACTACAGCCTCAGGCATTTTTTAGCTTTCTGTTTCGCCATCTGAAGGGTAACATGTACACATTTTCTAAAATGCTGAGTCTTTTTTACGAGGCATGTGTTAGATATCTTAGATATTTATGTAATTATACTAATCAAGTGGTTTTATTTATTTTCTGAGGAACTGCTTGGTATTTTTGGATTCATGTTCTCGAAGGAAGGAGTTGAATTTCCTGTTAAGATTTTGAATATGATTTTTTCAAATGTCTTTAGAGGAAAAAGTAAACTTGAAGAGTGATTACAGAATATTGGCTAATTAGCTATAGTGTAACTGCTTTAATTACTCTTATCCCTGAAGCCACATGATTGTACAGATGACTAGCAGATGACTTATTAAAAAAAAAAAGAAAAAAAAAAGACATGTTCACACTGCAAGGTTAATGAGCCTAATTAAATATAGTTTTCCTTAGCCAGATACTAAATTATAACCCTTGGGGGGGGGGGGTGGAGGAGGGGCAGAATCCAAAGGCGGTCAGTTCTATTTGAAATAATGATTTTATTCTGCTTTTTTAATGAGAAAAAGAAGAATAAACTGGAGTTGTGATTTTCAGAGTGATGAATAGAGACACACATTTATTTGGTGAGACCTCACATGGCAGACTTGAAAGTCTATTTGGAGACAATTGTGGTGAGCTGTATTTGTTTTCACTTGCCCACTGCTTTAAATAATGGAGAAGTGGGCTTGAATGGAAGATCTGTGTCAGACAGAAGTCTCCATCTGCTGCTGCGCATTACCAGAACCTTTGTCCTTCTTTGCTATGCATTCTTTTTATTACATAATTAACCAAGAGCCTTTTGGTTCTGAATAGAATTTTTAAAATGAACCATAAGAATAAGCATATCAGGTTACTCATTCCATTAAAAGCAGCAATGGGTGAAGATTAGTTAGCAGAAGTAGTAGCTTATTTTACTTCCACTGTTCTTTCTTTTCTTTTCTCCTACTGACTGTGAATTTCTTTGATATTATTGCCTTTCCTACCCCTCAGAGCATTACCCTTAATTATTTCCTTTAATTCAATCTAGTGTGCAGTGCTCTATCTTCTGAACAGGTTATTCAAACCTTCTGAGAAGCTATGTCCAAAAGTCAGGTAGGGCCAGATACAGTAGAAGTATCTCTAGCAAGGTTCAGCATGAGATGTATCAGATAGAATCTTGATGTCTTCGTATTCTTCCAAACACTTCTGCAGACAGCAGTAGTTTTTACAGATTAATAATTAAACCAGATTTCTTTGTTGTCTTCCAAAATGTAGAAATAATAGGTTATAGTAGAGCAAGTGAAACTTCTGGGTCCTTATTAGAGTGTTAGAAGCTGATTTCCTCATCTAAATTGGCGTCTTTAATTTTTATTGCATTTTTCCAAAGGAACTGAAAGATCACCATGTATGCAGTAGGGTTCAAAAGTTTTCAGGACAAATTGGATTACAACTAAATGGTTGCCCCTGTACACTTGGCACACAGTAGTAGAATCACTACACAGAATTTCTGTATCCATTATTTATTTGTTTGTTTGTTTATATTTTCCTTCTCAGTGGCAAATATTGCCTATGGTAGCCCCATGGGAGATCTGTGCTCTCACCTAGGAGACCTGACCTTAAAGCAGCTGCAGAAGATGCAGCTTATATTTCAGCTGTCTGTGTTTATATGGTTTGCAGTTATTGACATTTAAAAAGTAGGAAAGATTTAGCTGTAAATATTGTAGCAATAGCTTTTCTCAGTTGCTTTCTACATGTCAGATTCATTTTTTATTTTTTAGATAATGTGACCTGTTGCGAGTGAAGAGAATTATTGAGGGTTTTTGTTAAACTGGTTTTCATCTTGACCTGCTGCTCCTTATATTGTATGTAGTAAGACCATAGTAAAACTGTTGCTAGAAATCCTAAATTCCTTATGACTGTCTGGAATTCCTTTTGTTTGTTTTTTTTTTTAATTTATCTGCTTTGGACATTTTGATCCTGCAGATTCTACTTATGATATTAAATGTATGTAGTGATAGGAAAGTAATTAGCAAGGTGACTGACCGTGCTGAGAACAAGTCTTAGCTAAATCTCCTACAATTGTCTTGCTTATCTGCTGAGTAATCTCTGTCCTAAATTGTTTTCTTCAGCATTATCTGTAGACTCGTTAGGAAACAAGGTTGCATTTACACATATTTTAATTGGTGCATTAGTCCTTCATTTTTGTGCGTTATTAAAACTAAAAAGTAGAAAGAAGGAGATTTAAAAGAATTATTTATGTTTGGGGTGCAAGAGATTTTGAAGATGTTCTGTTTTCTTTTATCTGTGTACTTCTCTGAGCAGGAGAATATGAGTCTGTGTTTATTAACATTCAAAATGAGACCTTTGATTTATCACACTAGGCAGAAATTTCAAGATGTGAGGGTGTGAACCATCAGTTCTTCTTTATCATTCGGTTACCCTTCGTTAAGAGATTATCATTTTGTGGTGCTATTTTTGGACATTTTTTATTATTTTTGTAAATGTTGAGTATCCACTTCTTTTTGGCTCTGGTTATTGTTTATCAGTACTGTAACTCATTGAAATTGCAACCCAGACCACCTGCAGTGGGCATCTAAAGAAATTCACAGATGGAAGATGTTTGCCCGAGTCCCCCATGGTGCTTGGCAAGGTGAGCACTTCTAAGGCAGGCAGGTACATATATACTTTCCATCAGATGTGCTGCCCAGGAATGTAGTTCTTTTGGAAACTTGCAGATTGTCCATCCCTCATAGCAAATTCATTAAAAGGAGCTCCAGGTGAAAAACAACCGATCTGTATTATTACACAAAAGTCTGTCTGGAGATTTTTGTGACCGTGTGGGATACAGTTCCTGCAATCAAAGATCCACGGACATACACATAAAATGCCATTGCATCCTTGTTGCAAGCAGACAAGGAATGGGCTGACTAAATATTGCTTTACTCTATAATCAAGAACTAAATCAGCAAACAGCAACAGAAGACTGCTTATCTACAGCATGCATACTAAAATTCACAGGTCGAGACTGGAACACAGCATCTCTCACCAGCATTAAGCTAATTTAGTTCTAACAGCAAACAAGACATGTTGCGTGAAACATCCCCTGATTCAGTTCACAGTTCACAGTTCATCCCCTGACAGACGTTTATCGTAGTGTGGTATTTTGGACTGGTTAGAAGTGCGGAAGCCCCTGAAAGGGTATGAAAGCACAATATGCTCTTTGGAGGACCAAAATAAATCTACAGCTTCTTCCTGAAGTCTCACACAGCACACTAAAAGAACACAGAAATAGATTAGAGACTTTTTTTTTCTTTTTTTTTCTCCCACATCAGAGCTTGGCTGGATCTCCAAAGTGTATGTGAATCCACCTGCAGTTGTAAGGCATGCGGAACAAATTCAGAAATGGCGGACTGTGAAAGGTAATTGGCAAGTAAGTGCTCTTTTTATGCATTCTGTTCCTGTATTTTTAAAGCAGTCACTCTCCCTCTCTAAGCTGAAATATTGAATTTTCCTCAAGATGCATGTAAACTTAAAAGATGTGCTTGTCCATGTCTTATTTTAATAATTTGTATTTGATGATGATGGGATGGAATAAGGTGACGCATTTATCCAAACAAGTTAAAAACCTTATAACTCATGAGTGGCAAAACCGCAAATGAATTTCAGTCATCTTTATTCATGAGTGGATTAAGTTGTATATTACTATCCCACCACATTTATTCTGTATCCTAGGCAGACTTCTCTGCACACAACCTCCTTATTTTTTAATTTAAAGCTGTAAGATATGATCATGGTCCCTGTCAAGTTTGACCTACCTGGATGATTATTGCTTACTTAAACATTCCCAACAAGTGTGATTTTTTTGCTTAACTAGTTATTGCTGAAAACTCAAAAATCCTAACTGGATATGGTACTTGATGTGTGTTTCTGTGTGTACAGCTACAGAGCTGGGTGTAGGAATGCCATAGATAGGCAGTTTGGCAGCATCGAGCAAGGACAAGGTCTGAGAAGTGCTGTGGAGCAGGCCCAGAGCTCTCAGTGAGCACTCTGCTGTAGGCTGTGAGTGGTGTTCGAAGGACAACTTGATTCCTGGTTCAGTGGGCAAAAAGTGTTGTTCCTTCTGTCTCCACACTGAACAAATGGCTTCTTTTCAGCAGTGACTGATAAACTGGAAGCAGGAGATAGTAGACAATAAAGGAGTAATCTTTATATTGCAACTTAATAGAATGAAGATGCAATCACTTATTTGTACTTAATTCTTCAAAAAAATTTTTTTTTCAAAGCAGTTGACATTCTGAGCTTAATGTAGCAGGCAGCTGTTCTGGGGTGGCCAAAGCTACCTTCATGATCAAAGTCTGAAGTATTATAGGATGAAAGTAGAAATTGGTTAGAAGCAAGTGGTCAAGCTTAGACTATCAGAGGCCAGTAACAGTTCATTACTCAGCTCAGTACCCCAGAAGCAGCTTTTGATGTAATATTTGCTATAGGTTCAGAAAGGAGACACTCATTAGCTAAGTGTGAAAGGTTTACAGGCTGGCCTGCCTCTTAGGATTTGCAGAGCAATACCTCCACACAGAAACAAGTTTTGCCTCGTACGCTGACAAACCATGAAATAGAATGGAATGGTCAGGAAGAGATTGTCCTTGATATTGCTGTATAGACTCAAATGGCCTTCACTGCCATCTCACTCCTTGTTGAACAAGTGCTAAGCAAAAGATGTCTGTTTTTAGTGAAGCCATTGCTGCAAATGTGCGTTTGCTAGAAGACCTCCAGCAAATATTTCAAAATAATGTTTCAAGTTCAATTTTTGCTCAACAACAAATCTTGAAAAATATTTGGATGTGGTTTTGTTCCATTCTCTAATCAATAAGTCTTTTAATGTTGTATAGCATTTTCCTCTGAAGACTACTCTATCATTGTAATTTAGCTCTTAGTCTGTTGTTCTGTTTTTCTTATTTTGTTTTGTTTTTCAACTATTAATTACATATATCTTTTTAGTCCCAGATTCACACAAGTCAAAGAAACATTTGAAGTCTAGGCTCTTAATTTTAAAAAATTGTGCGTTATTAACTTCCACTGCTTCCATATTTTATTTTCACTGAAAAGGCATGCATATGTGTTACCATATGAGGGCTGCTGAAAGTAATGCCTCCAAATTTATTTTATTGGCACATGACATCAGAGGCGGATGTTGGTGGCACGGCAGTAAAGGTTGAACCTTCATGCCAGTATTGCCTTACACTTTGTTGCTGTGTGATGGGTGACAGCAGAAGGGCAGTCTGACAGAATGGCATCCGATATGGAAGTGTATATGAAGCTAAGGTGTGGCATTGAATGCCTCCGTGTGCAAAAAAATGGCACCCACTGACATTCATCAGTGCTTGCTGAATGTGTATGGGGACGAAACAGTGAATGTGAGCACAGTGAGGTGGTGGGTGGTGTGTTTCAGCAGTGGCAACAGCAACAGTGGGTCACCTGTATTGGTGCAGATTTTTATGAGCACAACGTGCAGGATATTGTTCATCACTGCAAAAAATGCATTGCTAATAGTGGTTGAGAAGTATTTTGAAATATAGTGAGAATTATAGCGAGTTATTGTTCTCTTTGTATTTGTTGTTGTTTCCCTGGATATAAATAGAAGGCATTAGTTTTGGAGCAACCCATGTACAAATTGCTGACATGTACGTTCATATGTTTATTTACAATTGTAAATCTGTGGGCCTTTTCAAGCATAACTTAATGGGTTTTTTATTTTTATTTTTATTTTTTTTTTTCTGAGTACAAATGCTTGTCTGGTTCTTAGTCCTGTTTGGTACTTAGCCTCTGCTACAAAAAATGGAGTTGAGCCTTTGATTCTGAAACAGATGACTTTTGATTCCAAAGCCTTTCTGTCCTGTCAGATATTACTTAAGATGTGAACAAATTTCCGCCATCCTTGTCTGTCATAAACCATTCTTTTTGTATCCTCCATATATATGGCATACTTTTCCTAATTCTTAGAGTGAGAACCAGGCTTTGGATTCCTGTTTCTAAGTCAGTTTGGCTTTGGAAGCATGAGCTTTCTTCCTTTCTTATTCCTTTCTTCACTCCCTTTGCAGGCTGCTTGGCTGTTGAAAGCTGTCACCTGCATAGACCTTACCACTCTGTCTGGTGATGATACTCCTTCAAATGTTCACAGACTGTGTTTTAAAGCTAAGCATCCCATCAGAGAGGATCTACTGAAAGCCATGGATATGCATGACAAAGGTTTGATTGTTTTTGTTCTGTTAAGTTTGTAGAGAAAATGTCTGTGTTTTCTCAGTATTTTTTTTAGTTTTCAGAAAGGTGTACGAATGACCTGTTCTATTATGGAAACAGTTGTGGCAGACAGTGCTGCTGAACTAATAGTTGTGAGAGAATTAGGCACTACTTGGTCTTATTCAAAGAAACTGCCTTAAATGCATAATACTTATTCTTTGAGTTAATACAGTAATGTGAAAAGGATAAGTCCATTCACTGTTTGGAAACCAAACTAAGGCATGGACTCAGGTAAACACTGTAAGTTACAGTACATGATGTACAAATTTGATACAGAAACCATAAATGTGTAACTTCAGTGTATCTTTTAATAACTGTGCATTAAGGTGAAACAAATCAATCTGCTGATGTCCTTTCTGAATTGCAGAAGTGGGGGATTTCATGCTTAGCTGATTCTGCTCTGCGTTACTCTTTAAGGACCCCTCCAACCTAAGCCATTCTATAATTCTGTGATACTCAAGACTCTGTCACTTTACTTGTCAGAAAATAGGTATTACACATGTCTAAGCACGTTATTTCTCCTTCAGAAAACATTATCTGTTACTTGCTTGTTTGAGTAACTATGATAGATGACATCTTTGCAGCCCAGTCTGCTTTAAGGAATAATTCCTCTAGAACGTGGTTATGTGTGAAGCACATATAGCCCGTATACTTACAAAGTTCTCAGCTAAGCCAACAGAGTTGGAGGGGAAGCAGACAGCCCTTATCAACTGGTGGTAAAGCATTGACAACAAGTTGACATTACTGAAGCAGGCTCCATCTGAAGTTCAGATTTTATACCTGAGACTGAACCTGATAAAACTTCAGAGCAAACTGAGACTCTCAATATAAAACTTCTTTATCAGTGCAACACCTCTGAATTTTTCTAGATGTGATCACTGGTGTGCCAGTGAGTATTTGGCTTCTGTCCTAGCACGTTGGCCTTAGAATCATCTAACAAAAAGAAAAAACTCAGTGACATGTGCAACATGCTTGCACTATCAAAATATTTCAGTAGTTTTATGCAGGCTTTCATCCACTAATTGAAGTTATATGATGTAAAACCAAGGAGGAAGTTCAGTTCTCTAGTTTCTAGCCATACATGTGAAATAACAAAGCTTGGCCTTTTTTTTCACTAAACTTAGATTTATGGACTTTTCAGGTGGTTGAAAGATTAAATATGAGAGCAATTATCTGAGACAGAGAGAACAGCATTTTAACTAGAAAAGCAGTAGAAATGCATTAACATAAAGACTGCTCTGTTGCTGCTGGGCTCAGCCTGGCTCAACAGGTAAGGACAGAGCTTGGCAGCAGTTTTTCACACAATATGCTGCTGACTAAGCATGCCTTAAATGTATGTCATTAAACAGGGAATCTGTTGGCAAAAAAAAAAACAACACTGAGAGGTGCTTTAACTCCTGATAATGCTAGTTTGTTCCCAGGCACAGGTAGAGGACTATGAGGGAGATAAAAATATGGAGAAGCGCTTACATGAATATCCCTGTTGTATGTCCTTAAGGTTCTTGTGAGAATACAAAAGTGGGAGAGAGGTGCAAATAGCATACCTGTGTTCGTTATATGGTGTGCACTAGAGAAGTGCAAATCTGCATATGAAAAAAATGAATTGTGTCTCTTGCAGGTATTACTGTTGCAGCAGTTTGTGTATATCCTGCAAGAGTCACTGATGCTGTTAACACCCTGAAGGCTGCTGGTTGTAGTATACCAGTAGCTTCAGGTAAGTGTTTTGTTAAAATAATCAATTACATCTTTTCATAGATATATAGTTGTGTAGCAGTATTATCTACATGTGTAAAATATGTAGAAAAATCTGGAAGTTGAGATTTGCTTTTGTTTCTGAGTAAGGTGAAAAGGTAGCAGGTGGAAGGAAGGGAATTGTGGGGAGGATTTGCTTATGTTTTTTGTGGTGATTTGTGTTGTTTCAACTTCATGCTTATCAGGAATGTCAAGTCTGTTATCTGGAAGCTCAGCTGGGAGGTTCTTAAGTTATACAAAGCCATTTCCCTCAAATGAGTAGAAGTTGATTGGGATAGTGTACCTGACAAAGAATTAGTAGACAAGCAGTAGATTACTCTAATACATATATTGGGTTTTCTGGTTTGTGATTTTTTTGTTGTTGCTGTGTTGTTTTTTTTCTCATCGTCAGTTTTTTGGCTTCTAAGTATGGTCCTATGGGCTGAAATCATTGAAGATTCGTGCAGAGGCAAGGGTTATTGCAGGCTGAGCAGTCTGCAAGTTCAGGACTTGTACTCATAAATTTCATAGTGCCAGTTCTTTTCTAGTCACCACATGGTAAACAAGTTCTGAATCTACTATAAGCAAAAAGTAGGATCACAGAATTATGTGGTTTGGATGGGAGCTCTGGATGTCATTTAGTCAAACTGTTCAAAGCAAGGGCTAACTTTGAAGTTAGATCAGGTGTTTTATGCCAACATCCGTGTTCTCTGGATTTTCTTTTCATTTCTTTATTGTTGTGTAAGGAAAAAAAAAATGCTGCCTGCATTTATGTCATGGAGAATCTCTGACAAAGCCATTACTATTTCTATTTCCAAAGTTACTTTAGGTTTTGTACTTAAACATCATAAAGGAAATTCTAAGTAGACCTCATTAAAAAGTTTTTGCTTTAATGTGATTTAGTTATTTAATGTATTACTGGGACTTAACTCAAAAAACTCCTTAAAAGAATTGGGGAGAATTCTAAGATTATTTGTTGTTTCACATACGAGTTCACTCCTTCTTTATTCAGTTCTATAGATACGGTTCTTTTGTAGAATGTTTTGGAGAAATTTATGTCTTATGGAAGAGACCTTTTCGTAAGAAGCAGTTAGTATCTGCTGGATGGAGGGTAGGATCAAGTGCCTTTAGGTTTTTGATTTGTGATAGGGATTTAAAAAGAAAAAAAATCAATGGCTTTCAAATTCTTTGGTGTATTAGAAGTACTCACAATTTTATGTTCAATTTATAAACCAAACTTTCTCCCCCCTACCTCCATTTCCATCCTTGTTAGTGGCTGCTGGGTTTCCATCTGGACAAACTCCTCTAGAAACAAAACTGGCTGAAATAAAGCTGGCTGTGCAGTATGGTGCTAGAGAGATTGACATCGTCATTAGCAGGAGCCTGGTGCTCAGTGGCCAGTGGGAAGGTAAGGAAGCTAAACCTATGTAAGTGCTAGTGCACATGCTAGTTCTGTCTCTTCCCCCCCAGTTTCTACATTACTAGTCCTTAAAGAATTTGATCCTTCCCCAGAGACTTTCTGATCATCTGGGACACTGAACTAAATCAAAATAATTTTACTAAAGCATGACAAATTATCAAATTTCTTAAAAAGAATGCTGTTACAGGTTGGGAATTCAGAATTGCTTTATGCTTTAAAGATTGGGTCTGTTGTTTCTATATTTTTGAGCATTTTCCATACAGAATTAAAAAAATAGCAAGTGAAACGGAGGAGAAATGAATGCCGACAATCTCTGAACAGTTTTGTTAAACCCCCCAGGGGGCGGCTAATGTAAATGATCTCTTATTAAATACACATTTCAGTTCTTGACAAAAGTGTGTATTTTCGTTGTTTTCTTTTTTAAAGTTGAGGGTACAAATTGACTGTTCATATTATTTTTGATGTTCCTGTGCCTGTAACCTGCAACTAATTAGTAAGAACTATAATGCTGAAGATGGTTTTTGCTCTAATTGCCTCCTTAATGTACTGTGAACAGTTCACCTTAAGTGCTGACAATGCTCCTACAACTAATCTCAGTGTGAAGGTAAACACATCATTGTCTTGGAGTGAATTTTCCATTTAATTGTATAATGCAGTACTGTAATAGCTTGTGTGATTGGAAGACTCCATAAAAACACCGGTACCTGGTTTTGGTTAAGGAAGTAGAGACATCGCAGTAACAGATCATGTTTTCTGATTTTGGGCTTCTTTCAGTTATCATTTAGAATTGAATTTGAACAACTAACAAACAAAACACCTGAAGTTTGTGCATCTGTTTCTTCAAGACTCATATCTTGTTTGCCTTTTGGTCTTACATCTTGACCTCTTCTCTCCATTCCTTTACTTTGAAATAAATACATGTTTACAAATGTCTGGCTTCTTGAAGGCAGATGCTGTAGCCATTTGTTTCTGTCTTAAGTGATTCAGATACAGCCTCTGAAACTGATGGAAGATGGAGACTAGGAGACTGAGAATGATGGTTCAAATCCTGTTAGCCAACATTAAGATTGTATGCACATTTTCCTGTGCCATGCTTGTGACTTGTAACAAGCCTTATGTACAGTTAGGAAGCATGTTGCTCCTCAAGTGGAGATATTTAACAGGTCTTGGATACAAAATGACCTAAGTCCAGTGGTCTTTCTCCAGCACTTAGAGAGAGGGAAAAAAAAGTCCATCACACTGAACTTAGAAAGCAGCTTGAATTTGTGTCTAAAAACGTCTGTTGCTATCTTACGAAAATTTTTGACTTAACCATTCTTACTGTGCTTCAGACTTCATGGTACATTGCTGTTCGATGCAAGTTGCACAGAGCAGAGGTCAGGAAATTAGGGCATGCAGTCAGTTACAAGTGCAAGCTCTAGATTATACAGCCCAATATTATGAGAAGAATTGAGGAGAAGCACAGTTCGATTCAGAGAGAGAGTTTTTACCAGTGACTGAAATGAATTGGACATACACTGTCAGATTTTTCCTGTATGGGAAGTGAACTGTTTCTGGTGATTGTAAGTCACAGGGAAGGAGGACATAGACATAAGAATGGTGGATCTAGTATAAAGCTATCAGTTTACTAAACAAATAAAACTGATATTTGATTTGCTGTTTATAGTCTTCTATCTACAGCCAAGGTCAGGACAAGCTCAAAAGGCATCCGTATCTTTTACTGAGGGTAGCTTTTTTGGCTGCCTTGCAGTTATGATAGAAACTCTTTATATTTAAAACCCAAGTATATTTTTATGATTATTTTGTTATGTTGTCATTCTTTGAGATCTCGGATGCTACTGACCTTTAGAGTACTTTTGTCTTAACTGTTTGTGTATTTCTAGCTTCATATATTTTCAGTCTGTTCCATAGTTGGGGTCACTGTGATGGAGTAGTATTGCTCTGTGGTTTGTTTCAGAAGCTTGTACTGTTAATGAATATTTTATAGCTTGAGTGTCCAACATTTTGGGTTGCCTGGACTGCAGTAAGGGAAGAAGTCTTGAGCCATGCATACATAGGCCGCTCCAAAAGTAATGCCTCCCATTTATTTTCATGGAAACTGCAACAGATACAATGAGCGCAGTAACTCTATAAAAGTCACAGTTTGATAGAACAAATTCTCAGCTACAAAATACTATTTTTCAACAGAATCACCAGTGTTAGCTATGCATTTTTGCCAATGATGAACAAGAGTCTGCACATCATGCTCATCAAAGTGACCCACTGTTGCTGTTGCCACCTGCCACCTCACTGTGCTCACATCCACTATTTTGTCTCTGTAAATGTTCAGCAAGCATTGATGATTGTCAGTGGGTGCAACTTTTTCTGCGGGGAAGAATTCAGTGACATGCCTTTACTTTATACACTCTTCCACGTCAGATGCCATTTTGTCAGACTACCCCTCCACTGCCATCTGTCACATGGGAACAACACGTAATGGAGCATTGGTGGGAAGGTTGAACCTCTACTGCCATGCTGCCAACATCCATTTCTGATGTTGTGTATCAAGAAAGTAGGAGGCATTACTTTTGGAGCAGCCCTCCTAAAATATAGTTAATGCATATAAGTAACAAAACTTACTTTAATTGTCCGTATTTTTATTAAAACTTTAAAAAAAAAAAAAAAAAAAAGGCAACAAAACCATAAAACTAGTGGGATATTTGACCCTGCTTTTGTGAAGCTTATCAGTCTGGTTTGATGTTAGTGGTTGCCATTCTGCGTGAGGTCTCAAGCTGCTCATCAGAGAATTTTTGATGAAATTCTCCTGAATGGAAAACATGCACAGCTGCATATTTTGCACTCTTCACAGGACCGTGTTTAGCCAGTGTATCCAAATGCATGCAATTATTTGCCATAACTTGAGCTAGCACTGCACTGTGCCCTATCCTTCCACTGGTTTCAGCTGAAACAGCTCTAACAGAGCTACAATATTTGGTTGTTGTCAAGGGATGAATGTGTTCCCTGGGCTGGGCTCAGGACTGAGCCACTGTCATGATGGCACAGGGCAGGGGGCAGGCTGCATTTTGAGCAGATTTTTAGTATTATTGAGACTCTTTATGTCACTCGAAATATATTTTCTAGATCTGATCTTTATGAGGTAATTGTAATGAGGTTTGTAATAGTGCTGAACGTGAAAGCAGCTTTATTGGGCAGCTAATTCAGGTTGGAAAAGAATCTTAAATGTTTATGAGCTTATGTATACGTACCTTTTACAAGCAATTTGCTTTTGGAGCAATAATACTTTACAATAGTTTACTAAACAGAATCACAGAATCACAGAATCACAGAATCACCCGGGTTGGAAGGGACCCCAAGGATCATGTAGTTCCAACCCCCCTGCCTAGCAGGGCCACCAAACATACACATTCAGATCAGGTTGCCATTGTCTTGTATTACTTAAGGAAGTATAAATTAAGCTTAAAAATCAGAATTTAGATTATGTCTTTAACCACAGCATGTGAAGCCTGTGAGTAAAGTGTGTTGAAGCTGACCAACAAATTTCTGAAAGAAGCTGGATATATTCTCCATAAGTATCATGGTTTGCTCTACCTTCTGAAACTATCTGAGGTTTGATAAAATTACTTTTAGTTTCACAGCTTTTAGCAAACACTGGTTATACCACCAATGTCAGTGGCTTCCAAATACTTGACAACCACTAATAATGGTTGATCATCATTTGCTCTATGTCAGTTGAAGTTTCCTGTAAAAAAAAAAAAAAAAAAAAAAAGGGTGAAAAAATAGATTAGCCTAAGAAGTTAGAGCATGGCTGCATCCATGAAATGCATTGCTGTAACCTCATTATGAAAGCTGCCTTTCAATCCTTGCTAATAAGTATTCAGTTATGAGTGCAAAGTCTTTTTTCAGTAATTGGGCCCCCCCTTTTATAAGCTGCAGAGATAATATACATATTATCTGTTCTGCAGACTTGAACAAGACTCTACATGTTGTTTGAAAATATTTTATTGGAATTTTCCATTTTCTAGATTTGCAAGCTGACTTGGGACTGTAAAGTCTGCATAATTTCTTTCTTATACTGTCAGCAGCAGCTCAGACTCCTGAAGCCAAATTCTGTTCTCAGTTTCATGTGAATCACTGGAGCCTGGAGTTGCACATATGTGGCTGAGAGCAGAACTGATAGAGTCGTGTTGTGCTGATAGCCTCGTGCTTGTCATTTTGTTAACAAACCTGCCATTAATGTGCAAGACAGAAGGCATTCCAGCTCATTTTCCAATTTCCTAACATGATTACCTTGATCTTTTGGTCTAACAGAAATTGAAACATCGTCCCTTCTCATCTCAGTTTCTACCCTTAACATCAGTCAATGTGAATGACTAGTTGAAAACAGTGAATAAACTGAATTTAAAGAAAAAAAAAAAAAAGTGTTTTTAATCACATTTTTTTTAGAAGAGCAGTTTCATTAAAATTAAGCTGTTTTTATTCTTCCTTTAACATTTTCATATCCTGTGTAAGAGACGTATTATTCCCTTCATTTGATTTTAAGACAAATGTATTGGACCAAATCAAAATACCATATAGACAATCTAGGGCAGATCATAGCCAGTATTAATTGATAGGGATGCTTGCTTGAGAGACATGAAGGGAAAGGCACATTTTCTCTGGTGTATTTAATAATAGCTAAATACAATGGAATGTTTGTACTGAATATTTGGAAATTCAGTAAAGCTTAAAAAAAAAATCGTCACCATCCAGCACTTATATTTTATAACTGTGCAATTATTATATATAGATATATCTATGTATCTGTATAGAAATATATAGAAAATATTGCTATAAAGGATTTTTTCTCTCCTTTAAAATCTGATCTTTTCTGACTTATATATGCATACAATAAAAGCGTATTTGAAGCTCATAAAAATAGTAAGGAATGTTAAATAAATGGGAGCAAAGTAGAATATAATTCTTGTATCACACTCATTTTAACTGCTTAATCAGCAGAGGTACTACAAACTGCAGCAATGAGCATCTGGGTGTAAATATAATCTATGTAGTACAGCTAGCTTTGATTCTGGTTTTGTTTGTTTTCTTTGTGTGTGTTTTTTCCTGATTTAATATGTGTAGTGTTAGTGCTGTATTTGAGATGCTACACAGTATTGGCCATTTGCTTTGAGAGCTCTTCATTATTATTTCCACTGTTTTTAAGAGTCAGAAGAAGAATCTCTTGCAAGCTTTTCGTGGTGGTTTTAGCTCATAGCTGAGAATATGCCTCTGGAGTTTCCTGTGTTGGAGATTTTCCTAAATGCATTTTGCCACTTCTGCTACCCAGAGCAGCCCCATCTGCTCTGCCAGCTACTACTAGTGTTCTGCAGAGGTCAGAAGTATGCCAAGAGCCATGGTGTCCAGCTCTGCTCCCGTCACTAAAGAGCTTGAGAGAACCAGGTAGCTACAAGATTGAAATTTGGCAGCACAACCTGTCTTAAAAATGGCCCTGGACTTCTTGAAAAAGTGACTGTATATTCAAGTGCGATCGCTCTTCAGTCTTTTGAGAGGAAGTTTTGAGTTGATCGAGTAATTTCTCTTTTTATTTAAATCTGATTGAGTACCCTTTTTATTTTTGAGAGCAATAGGAGTTCATGCATTGTTTCTGAAACAAAGCAGTGCCTGCTTGACCTGGGACGAAGGTGTTCAATCTCAGGTGCTCTGGTTAATTTTCTCTTTCCCAGAGATAGTTGCGTTTCTATTCGTACTTTTACTGTAGGGCTGAGAATATCCTGTGAGTGCCAAATACTCAATGCAATAATTGATCTGTGAATAGAGTGTGAATAAAAGAAGAGTATTTATTACCTCCACACCTGCCCCATTAACACATGCCTACTGTTCCACCACCTCAAGTAACCTGACAGACACAGATGATTGAAGATCTTCAGTTGTTCCTGTCTGTGGGTTGATGCATGCTGTCAGATAGAGAGACAATTCAAATGATCTTGGCACTAATTGCTTATAAATGTACTTTCCAACAATAGGGAGAGTGCTGTAGCTGCAGAACTAACTTCGGTGAACAACACAGTTACGGAAATAAAATTTCTTTTCATGGAATCCAAACTAAATGTACATTTTGTTGATTTTGTTTTGACATTTTTGGCAGTGTATCTTAAAGGTAGAGAAAACTCGAGTCTTTTCTTGTTGTTACCGAAACTAGAACATGAAAGCTGCTTTTTCTGGCTTTCCAAAGGCTTCAGGAAAGACTCACTCCACAAAAAGAAACTGCGTTTGGATCTAACACGAGTAGCATTATGAAATGCACAAGAAAATAGCACAGGTGCTTTGTATTTCCTATTTTTTTTTTGAGTCTTGATTTGATGTAGAAGGTTTTTGGAGTATCATCAATTGATCAATAAAACATGTTAGACCGCATGCTAGTACTGATTAATTCACACCTTTGGTACACAGTAAGAAACAAGGTGAAGCCTGGTGTCTATAAAGGGACTTGCTAAGTACGTTAGCCAGTTGTCTACTAATGTGTGTAGTATGTCTCTGAGGACCACCGCAGTGATCCTAGCCCCAGCAGCCTGGTAAACCCACAGCATCAGTAGGACTTGGCAACATGGCAGGTAAAGGAGGTGTCCAGCTGGGGAGCCTTCTTTGGGACTTGTGTGGGGACTGAGACAGTATGCTGAAAAAGATAATCCTGGACTTTAGGAAAATTTGTTAAAGCTGGTGTTTTTTTGTCTTCTATAAATGAACTTTTTCATTATGTGTGCTTAAAGATTAAGTATAGTTTCTGAAAAGGACTCTTATAAAAGATACTATTTGCTTATTTTGCCTTTTTTTTCCCTTCTAATTCAGATTCCAGAAACGTTGGCAGCACACTGTAAGAGCTGCTTTTCTCCCTGCCACTAGTATTAGATGAGCCTTAATCATCCCCAAGTGGCCAGACTGTAGCAGCTATATTTCCACAACTTCTCACTCTTTTAATCTCTGGAAGTTTAATATTTGGGGGTTGGGGGGGGGGGGGAAAGGGGATGGGACTGCTGAATTTTGCCAAAAAGGGGTGGGACATTTTCTTTGTGCTCCCATTTCCTGTCCAGGTCTGCAAGTTCTGTTTTTTTAAGGAACTCAGTAGGCCTGAGTCCTCAGTAACTCCCTGAGGGGAGTTCACAGATGCAGATCCATGCAGAGCTGTTGAGCCATGAAGGTGCTACCTTGGACCTCAGGCTTTCCGCACCAGGGGTGTTAGCAGCCTGTGTTGATGAGGCTGCGTGTTTTCAGAAAACTCATGTTTTCACAAAACTTAGGATGGAATTTAAATACCTAAACACAGGCATCTAGCTCCTAATTGGCCTTCCTGAGACTGCCCTATGGAACTGGGGGTAGGATGGGCCCTAATAGATATGAGGTGCCTCCAGGAGTAGCAGTTGGAGGCCAAGAAAAAGATGTCAGGGAACCACAAGTGGCACCAAGATCTGTAATTAGACAACTTGGCTACACCTCTGTTTTCTCAAAGGCTGAGCCCTGCAAAGATGGCTGTAGGGAACGGGGAGTGTGGTGACATGATGTGCAAGGGGAAACATAACTGTGCCTGAGTACTAATTCAATTTATTACCAAATCTATTGCTTAAAAAGCTGTTTTAAAATCAGTTTTGTACATCATAGTGGGTTTTTTTTTGCTCCTGATGTATTCATGAGTGTTTGGCACACTGTGCACATTAGTAGTTTTGAGAGAAGCGACATTAATAGCTATTAAGTTCAGTCTGAAATTGTGTGGCATTGTTAATTACCTCCAGTCATGTAATTTATTGAACTTACAAAACTTAAGTTCTTGAGTGCTATGACTAATTATAAGATTGGAAATTAATCCAGAAGTGGAAATTACAGCCATACTTGAAAATGTCTCTCAGCCAACTTTGATCATTTTCAAATGCTTTTATCCACAGGTCTGTATGAGGAGATCCGCCAGTGCCGTGAGGCCTGTGGAGAAGCTCACATGAAAACAATCCTAGCAACAGGTGAACTGGGGTCCCTTGCTAATGTCTACAAAGCCAGTATGATCGCTATGATGGCAGGTAAATATAAGGCTTCTTCTTTTTAAGCTATGAATGTCTTTACTATATTATTCATGAAGCGTAAAAAATTCTCATTGTGAAAGTTTAGTTTTGCCTATAGTAGGCAAAAATTGTTATACAGCAATTACTGAAGTTGCAGGTGTAGTAATGAAGTGTCATTTGTTTTGTATAATCTACAAAAAGGTACAAAATGTTAAATAACACTTAGAAATGCTAAGCAACAGGATTTGTAGGAAAAATTTGTCTTCAAGTGTCTGATCTTTGGTATTTTTGATAAGGGCACATACATTTGGGGCAGATAGACGTTATCCACATAGTGTCAGTGAGTGTACAGAGGTAGTGTGAGCAGGTGCGTTGTGAGCCTGTTATAAATGTAGATGGGCAGATCTCTTCCTTGAGATGATTTGTGCTGACTACAACTGTTTTTGGTTTGTGATCATTCCTAATCACCTCTACAGGAGTGTGGTTTGAGTAATCCAACTATGCTGGGGATTCATCAAGAGGAAGAGTATCAGTGATGCAGCAGGTGCTGGAATGCTCTAGATGATAACTGTTTTTAAGTGGCACTCTCGAAAGTGGGACAGTTAATACTGACAGTTAAATGATGTTCAGTTTTGCCTACTTCAAATAGGACTTCAGGGCTGTGGTTTAATACAATCTTTATGATGCAGAATGTTCTTTGTTCTCTGTTCTAAACATCTGCTTCTTCCACCATTCTTGAAGGAAGGCACTTCTCTATTGGCAGAGGGAAATGTAAAGATATCCCAAAAACCACTGTTAGTCCATATTCTAACTAAATTTTGGGTCATTTTTGTTGATTTTTTTTTCCTACTATAAGCTCTTCAGACCTGAAATTTCTTATTTTAGGGGAAGAAAAGGTCATTTGAGTGTCTTGTCTGTATTTAAATAAATATTCAACTTGCAGCTGGCCTCCTTGTCTTTTTACACAGTGCTGTGCTTATCTTAGATGGAATGAGAGGCTTTTATGTTTTTTGCTTGCTCAGCTTCAAAGTCAATTAGTATCATTAAGTACACAGTACAGTATTATGCTAGTAAATATTGTTTTTAATTAGAAGAGGTACAAGAAATGCATTTCCTGTCATTTATACCATTATAATTATAATCTTTTTTTAAAATTTATTTAAGAAATTCAGATTGTAAGGCATTAGAACATTTTCAGGTTTTTTGCTGGTGTAGTTTTTTTGAAATACAGCAGATGGCTCTATTGTTAATGATTTTTCTTGCATGGTTATTCATTTTATGAGATACCTATCCACACGAGTATGTGCAGTAATTCCCTTATTTCAGTCTCTTGCTTTTTCTTTGTGGGTAAGTATAAAAATAAGAATGTACATACATGCATTGAAGGCCAAATTTTCAAACTGCGACTTGTCAGAGTAGCTGAGAACCTCAAATTCCAGATATTTGTTTGATTTGCATACTTGTAATATTTTGGAGTAAAGAAACTTGGCATGGTAGGTTTAAGCTCTCGCTTTTGTGACCATATGTTTTTACAACTGGTGCTCTGATTTAAGTGAAAGAAAGAAATGAAGGTTTAGCTGATCTTGTGGATATGCTGGATCCTAGGGATTTTTATTTGAAATAAATGTGAAAAAGCAGCACCTCTGATAAACCTGATGCTAGTGATTAATTACATGAGAGGAAATGAGTTACACGGTATATTGGATTTGATTGCAAAACTGGATTTAGAAGTTTTTTCTGCCTCTGGCCACTTGTTCTTGTCCTTGAACCAAAATTTGCTTCTCCTTTAGCTATGTTGTTAGAAGTGCTCTGTAGAACTGAGTTATCAAAATTGACAGCTGAAAACTACTTCAGAAGGGGATAACTAGTTTTGGGGGTTTTTTTGATTGATCATGTTTTGGTTTATTTTCTTTTAAAACTGTCACCACCTTAGGAACCTAGATTACTGCCTTGCCTTTACAACTTGCATTTGTTGTATCGGTGCAAGCGAGTATGTGGCATATAGTCCTTAACCTGCTTTCACTGTGTAGTGCATAATGCAAGTCTACCATGTAGGGAGTACAAAATCATAGCCTTATGTATGTTCACATTGCTGTTGTTGAGCATACACGCTCACACATAGGTCCTGAAGCACTGAGCTGTTACAGCATGTTTTAAAGCACATGTATGTACCTTGCTCCAAAAGTAATGCCTCCTATTTGTTTCCAGGGAAGCTACAACAGATACAAAGAGCATGATAACACTATTTGATAGAGCAAAGTCTCAGCTACAAAGCAGTATTTTTCAACATTGTTGCTACCATTAGGTATGCATTTTCACCAGCGATAAACAAGCCTGCATGCCTTACTCTATAAAAATCTGCACCAGCAAAAGGTGATCCAGTGTTGCTGTCACCACTACTGATGTGCACCACCCACCACTTCACTGTGCTCACATCCAGTGTTTCATCTCCAGAAACATTCATCAAGTGTTGATGAATGTCAGCGGGTGCCATTTTTTTAGCATGGAGGAATTCGGTGACACCCGTTTGCTTCATGCGCACTTCTATATCAGACGCCATTTTGTCAGGCTGCCCCTCCTGCTGTCATTTGTCAAACAGCAACAAAATATAACTGAATATTGTCAGGAAGATTCAACCTCTATTGCTGTACCACCAACACCACCTTTGACATTGTAGGCCAGCATAATAAAATAGCAGACGTTACTTCAGAGCAGCCCTCCTATTTCCCATCTGTTTCATTTGTGAGACGCAGAAGACTGGAGACAAAAGAGTGTCACAGTGTGGATCTAGCAATAGCCACGTGATTGAAAAGCTTGCCTGGGATGTCTGGCACCTGGGCTCACTGACAGGTCTCCCACACAAAGGTGAGTTTTATTTGTGTTTGCCATTAAGTGTCTCAAGCCCTCTTTATAAAATTACTCTGCTTTTCACAAAGCAGTTATCTGAGCAGCGAATGCCATGCAGATGACTCCTCTCCCAAGTACCTTTCCAAAATTTCTGTATAGTCATCCTTGTGCTGATGTGTGCGCAAGGAGTGACTGATGTGTGCAGGGAGGATCAAGTTCCATTCAGTCTGATTCAGCTTCCAAGTAGGGGGGGCAGCTGCACGAATGACTGACTTGAAAAGGCATGCCAAAACATCAAGTAGTGTGAAAAGTGTGCACCTCCACATTGGCTGGAATTTTAAAATAATACTAAGAGCCACGTTCAGGCTGGAGTGGCGTGTCTGTGCACTTCTATATTCAGAAGTATTTGCTTTGACCATGTCTGTAGGCAAGCAACTGTGCTCTGGAGCACAATTTTCATCCAAGAAAGAGGCTGAGCCCAACAGGACGTGCAGCTCCCAGCAGTGCACTGGAGGCCAGGGACAGCTTTAGAAAATGCAGTTTGTACAACATTCTTGTTGGGGAGAAGGGTGTCTTCACGGTGAATTGGGTAATAATCAGCCTCATTTGAAGGAAATACAATAATTTGCGTCTTTTTTGGCTCATTCTGTGTCTGAAACCATATCTCTCCTAAGTAACGTCTATTTTTTCTTCCTTCTCTAGCACACTACATAGAGAAAAAGACATCAGAATGGAAATAGGCAACTAGTTCTTAAAGTCTTTTAAGTCACCCTTTTACATATTTGACTGACATGCTAAAAATTATTCTGGAATATTTGAGTATCTATTTCTGAGTGCTGTTCTGAAAGAGGCTGACAGCCCTCTAAGGACAGTGAGTCAGCTAGCAAGAATAATTCTTGCAGTGCTAAGGAGGAGATAATGGAGAAGGTAAGGAGTGCACAGCACTGGATCAGTGTCACTACCAAAGAAGTACGTTGTTTTCAGAAAGCTGAGATAAAGTCTCAGACAAACAGGGAATTTTTGTTCATAGTTTGTACTGTCCACTGCCATTTTTTGGTCTTCTTAAAATCTTTATGTTGGGTTTGAATGCATGAGCTTCCCAGGGGCAGCTGACTGCATCTTTAATTCCACCAGAAAGTTTACAAATGCTGAGCAGAGCAAACAAATTAGGGATTTTCAGCATTTGATTTGGTTGAGCTCCATTTCTATAGGAGAAACACAAATGTACGTCTTTGTAACCTCTTCAAGAAACAGTTCTGAGGAACACAAATAGGAGTGCTTGGCTCCCTAGTACTAGTGCGAACTACGCCATGTTTCTTCATCTTGTTGTCTTTAAAAACAAACAAGCCACAAACATCTTGTTCACTGTTTTGTTATGACAGGGTGACAGGTTTTTTATTGTTACATTTTTGACACAAACTATATTATAAAGTGCCAAGGAAGCCAGATAAGGAAAGGAAAGATGGTAAACTTGCAGTGGGGGAGGAAAGCTCCCGTAAAGGTGAGGATGACTTTATTACATAAAGTTTTTATTTTGGAAAGTTACATTTTAACAATATTACCTATTTGCAAAAACTTTATCATTTTTTATAAGAATTTGTGTTAAATAAGGAGCTAGAGGCTAAGTAAATGTGCATTGCTTTAAAAGTAAAAACTTTTGTGTCTTTTTAACTGTGAAAACTGGTCTCCACAGTATACTTCATTTACCTCATTCTTTGGGAATTTGAGAGAAATGCAGCAGTGGCATATGAGAGATACTTGTTTTCATTATAAATAACCAAACAAGTACCTATGTAAAGATCAGGAAGAAGAGATGTATGCTCAGTGGTAATTCTACTAAACATATAGATTTCAAAAATATTTTGTAGGTCATGAAGTAGTCAAATAAGTTGAGATACTGACTCATAAAAATTGAATTTAGAAAGGGAATGAGTTTATGCTAAAAAGCCATAACGTCTAGATTTTCTAGCATAAAGAAGCAGGCAAAAATTATCAAAACCTGGCTGAGGCAATAAAGTCTCTCATGCCAATGGGCCAGAAGAAGAAAATTAAACCATGTGGAATCTGCAGACAGAAGTTTTGAGATGCTTTGATGCTTTTAATTCCAAAATGAGCAGAAATAATACAGCCATCATTTTCACAGCAGAACATGAAGCCACAAATAGGCTGGC